TTCCAGTGCTTGCCAATGGCTTGACTCGGCATTACAAGTTCAATGTAAGTGTTTAGATAAGCATGGATGAATCGCTTGTTGTTCAGTTAAGCATTCCAGTCAATTTTTCTGGTGAAATTAATACAAAAGCTATTTACGCGCTTATGCTTTCAATATTATAATGTTTTAAACCCAAAAAAACTTTTGTAGAAAATATAATAAAAGGATATTATTACATTAACATTAAGGTTTATCACATAATTTTTTGTACTTATATCATCTAGCAATTTATTAAGGAAGTTGATGTAGTTCGACCGACATGGTTAGCCCATCGATGCCTTCGCCCAACAAGCTCATTTGTGGCTTCCACTTTTTCATCACACACTGCACTATTTGGTCCTGTTGATGCCATTGTTGGCGAGCTCTTCTATATTTTTCTTGCTTCTTTGTTGTCGAGGATTTAAGGAATTTTGGTAGGAATAAATGAGAGAAAACGTGAGTATAGAGACGGCGAGACGAGGGGCCCGATGGGCAAAGGGCAAGGGAGGCCGATGGCATGATGATGGAGTGATAATGATATGTGTTATTTTTTATATGATTGATATTTATATGAATCATGGTACAAAATAAAAGTTAGCATGGCTAGAGGAGTGCTAATAAAAATTGTACAGATTGTGACGAGAAAAACGACCCGGCTTTGCTCCACCAAGCCCATCGTCACCGTGAATGGGCAGTATCCCGGCCCGACACTATCAGCCCGAGAAGGCGACACCGTGCTCGTGAAGGTTGTCAACCATGTCAAATACAACGTTACAATTCACTGGTAAGTATTCAGTAGAACGCATTGCAGTTTATTTATTAAAATTTCATCATAATATAATTGACTCCTCATCTGCCAATTTACTTTATTAAATCATCTACCAGTAAAGGAAGCAATCACCTACATATCATCTGAAGCATCTTATGCTTTTAAATTATAAGTGTTGGTTGATCAGTCATTCTGCAAACAAGGATTGTGTTGAACGTTTCTGATGAATTATCTGAAAACCCTTAGCTTCGTAAATCATAGCTTGCAAAATTTTTGTGTAGTTGATAACCTTTCTATTGATAACTATTCCATTAACAGATGAACATAAAATCCAAACATGAAGGGTTCGTTTGGGACGATTTTTTATTGCTCATTAAAGCAATTTTTTAGTACAAAAATTTTAATTTTTGTAATAAAAAATTATTTTAAGAAACAGTGAAAAAGTTTTCCTAAATGAAGCATCTCGGAAAAATGAAAAAAATTATGTGTCAAGATCTAATCTGATAGGTTCTGTTGAATTTTCTTAGAGTTTTGATTGAGTTCAATATGTTTGATGTTTTAGCGCTGCTCAAAGCTCCATATGCATGTCATTTGTCATGGAAAAATCCTAGAAGAGAAAAAGCGTTGTGAACACAACTCTCCTTGGCCTATTGGTTGAGAGCTTAGGCTTCCAACTAAGAGGTCCAAGGTTCGAGTCTTTGTTTTAGCGCTGCTCAAAGCTCCATAGCATACAAATAAGATATGCATGTCATTTGTCATGGAAAAATCCTAGAAGAGAAAAAGCGTTGTGCCTGGCCCAACTAGATCAGTCCACTACGTAGGGTGAAGATTATAAAAAAATAATCTTTCCTCAAATAAAAAATAGATAATTACTCTTTCCCATAAACTCCTATAGGGATGCTGTCCTTTGACCTTGCGACCTGATCGGATAGGTCGAACCCAACCCTGAAACTGCCCCCTTGGACCTCCAATATATCTACGAAGTGTACAATGATGAACAAATAGGGGTCGAGAGTCAACACCCTCAGAACTCATTACTTATTTGATACATATTTTTAAATCTTTAAGTACCTTAATGACACCGGAATCAAATGATATTGGGCCCGTAAGATTTATCTTATCAAGATCTATGTTTCAACTATAAAATTATTAATGTGCGGACACTAGACACATTTTATCATCCAGAGGCGAATCAGGTGCAATCATGTCATACAATACCGAGGAGTACTGAGCTTGATACCGAGTAGTATCGAGCCGTGGTACCAAGTAGGGAATGACGTGACACATTTTCATTGGGATTTGGAAGACGTTCGGCATCCGCATAGAATAATTCATCACAAAATTCTTGATTGATCTAATAAAATTTCTCATGATATATCAACTACATCATCATAATTCACCTCTAATTGAACCTTTGCTTAAATCTTTATTTCTTCCGATTAAATATAATTTCAATTTGCAGAACCCTGAGGCTAGCACCAAAAATACCTAAAAAATCATGTCAATCTTTGGGTTGAATACTTCTTTAAGCAACTTTTTAGATAAAAAGTTAATTTTTTTACTAGAAATTTATTTTAAGAAGTAATAAGAAAATCATCATAGAGGAAGCCTTAGACATCTCCGGTGTCAGAAATTTTTTGTGGTAAGTATTATTTTAGAAAGAATTAAAAAATTTCTCCCAAATAAAATCTCAGATGACCTCAGCTACAAAGTCCGGCCGTTCTCAAGTTCATAAAGCTAGATGTTTTTTTAGTTAAAATTTTCAAAAAAAATAAAAATAAATAAACAGATCAGAATCAAGATATTTCCATTCAGATCATATATGTTTTCCGTCGAACACGAAACAAACCTAAGAAATTGTATACCAATCTTAGGCATGGAATAAGGCAGATCCGAACCGGGTGGGCTGACGGACCTGCTTACATCACACAATGCCCGATCCAACCCGGCCAAAGCTACGTCTACAACTTCACCCTCACCGGACAAAGAGGCACACTTTGGTATCACGCTCACATCTTATGGCTTCGAGCCACCGTCCATGGCGCCATCGTCATCAAGCCCAAGCTCCACGTCCCTTATCCTTTCTCCAATCCCCACCAGGAAGTCGTTCTTGTTTTAGGTACTCAACAAATGGTCAATGTCCACCACTCCCCTGTTCATCTTCAAATTTCATAAAGATTATATTTTGTGACTCGAATTGCAGGCGAATGGTGGAACGCCGACACAGAGGCGGTGATCAACCAGGCTACGAAAACTGGCTTAGCACCCAACGTCTCCGACGCCCACACCATCAACGGCCATCCCGGACCAATAGCTTCTTGTGTTTCTTCACAAGGTGAAAAGAAGCAAAATTTCTTAACAACCGCGCGCTTTAATCATAATTTGTATCTTAAACGTACAATGGCGGACAGATGGATATAAATTGAAGGTGAAGAGCGGTAAAACATACCTGCTCCGCATCGTCAACGCTGCACTCAACGAGGACCTCTTCTTCAAAATCGCCGGGCACAAGCTCACCGTCGTCGAGGTCGACGCCATCTACACCAAGCCCTTCACCGTCGACACGGTGGTGATCACCCCCGGCCAAACCACCAACGTCCTCCTCACCGCAGACAAAACCTTAGGCCAGTACCTTGTCACCGCCTCCCCATTTATGGACGCTATGATCGTCGCGGTCGATAATAAGACCGCTACAGCCACCTTGCACTATGAGGGCACTCTTTCCACCTCTCCTATCACCGCCGTCAAAGTGCCCCCAAGAAACGCCACCTCCATTGCCACCAGCTTTGCTACCTCGCTCCTTAGCCTCAATTCAAAAAAGTATCCTGCTAATGTTCCTCGGGAGGTCGATCACTCCCTTCTTTTCACCATTGGGCTCGGCATAAACCCCTGTTCAACCTGTGTCAATGGTAGCCGCATAGTGGCGGCCATTAACAATGTGAGCTTTGTGATGCCGGAAACAGCTCTACTGGAGGCGCATTTCTTCAATAAGCAAGGGGTGTTCACCACGGACTTCCCCGGGAAGCCTCTCGTGCCATTCAACTACACGGGGAGCGGCCCAACAAACTTGCAGACGACGAACGGGACAAGATTGTATCACCTCGCGTACAATTCGCGTGTACAGGTCGTGTTGCAGGATACCGGGACCATTTCGCCGGAGAGCCACCCCATTCATTTGCACGGGTTTAACTTCTTTGTGGTTGGGCAGGGAGTTGGGAACTATGACTCAAATACCTCACCGTCGACGTTCAATCTCGTCGACCCGATTGAGAGGAACACCATCGGCATGCCTTCCGGTGGCTGGGCGGCTATTAGATTCAAAGCAGACAACCCAGGTACAAAGAAGCATTAGAATAGGAATGGAGATGGCCTTTTGAGTGTTTGATAAAATGCCTCTTAAATTTTTATTTGCAGGTGTTTGGTTCTTGCACTGCCATTTTGAGGTGCACACGACTTGGGGGCTGAAGATGGCGTTCTTGGTGGACAATGGAAAGGGGCCTAATGAGTCGCTATTGCCGCCTCCGAATGATCTTCCGAAGTGTTAGCTCAGTTCAGTTTGTCAATGATTGAAAATTGAGTGAAGGATTCTGGAAAACCAAAAAGTCAATAAAAAGTGTGTTTTCGGAGGTTTTATTGGTTTTGTATCTACCTTTTTCCTGTAATTTTCTTTTTGCAAGCATAATCTGTAAAGAATTCGGAAAGATCTTTTTTTTTTTAACTAACTTAATGCATCAATTGACATAGAAGTATTTCGTTCATCCAAGAAATTTCACGCGTAAGTTTAAATAAGATTCTCATGCGGGGATGGGACCATTTTGTTGCAACCCTCAGGCAGTGCAACCGAATAAGCATTGATTATGGGACCAATTTTGCGGCGAGACAATTTGGAATAGGAACCTGGTGTAAATCGTTCTCGACGCATCCTGATCATAACAAGATCGCCCACATTAAACAATTGCTGGCGGAGGTGTTTATTAGCGGCTGCCTTGTACCGTAGATTGGATTGAATTATTTGACGCCGAACTTCCGATAACATATCAGCATATTGTTCGGTGAAAGCAGTGGCAGCATTTGATTTACATTTGGGCAATATAGATAGATCAAGAACTGTATTAGGCGGCTTAGTGTAGACTATTCTGTTGGTCATAGAATTATACGCAAATTCTGCTTTACTCAAGACTTCTTCCCATTGACGAGGATGCTCTTGAACCAAGCATCGGAGCATATTACCCAACATTCGGTCGACGACTTCAGTATGACCATCGGACTGAGGATGGTACGCCGAGCTAAGACGTATATCTGTGCCTAACCGTTTCCACATTTCTCTCCAGAAGTGGCTTATGAATTTAACGTCACGATCCGATGTCAAACTACGAGGTACTCCATGGAGGCTAACAACTTCCTCAAAGAATATGTTAGCAATTACCATTGCATTGGAGGTCTTTCTATAAGAGAGAAAGTGAGTCATTTTCGAAAAATTGTCTACAACTACCATAATAGAATCATTACCTTTTTTTGTTCTCAGCAGTCCCAAAACAAAATCCAGACTGAGGTCTTCCCAAATAGAATCTGGAACGGGTAACAGCATGTAAAGGCCGGTATTTTGAGCACCTCCTTTGTAGCTTTGACAAATGGAGCAGCTATCGACTAATCAGAATACATCGCGACGAAGTCGGGGCCAGAAGAATCTTGCCTGCAGCTGTCGTAATGTGTTGTCCCGTCCCACGTGAGCAGCCAGCGCTCCACCGTGAGCTTCCCGAATTAAATACTGCCGCCATGATGATACCGGAATGTATAAAAGGTTTTGTTTAAACAGATATCGATGTCTAATAGAGTATTCATCTACTGAGGGCTGGTCTTGACATTGATTTCAGATTGTGCTGAAATCATGATCGGTAGTATATAAATCCTTGAGACATTCCAATCCTGTTATTTCAGTCTACAGAGTTATTAGTAAACTCCGTTTCCTGCTTAATGCATCAGCCACCTTATTGTCTGTCCCAGGTTTGTGTTTAATTGTAAATGAGAAATTTTGTAAGAACATTAGCCACCTCGCGTGCATGCGGTTGATTGTTTTTTTGACTATTGAATATTGATGTATTGGAGGGCCTTGTTATCACTACAGAGAATGAACTCCTGATGAAGTAAGTACTGCTCCCACTGTTTCAAAGCTCGTATAATCGCGTAGAGTTCTTGTTCATATGCAGCCCATTTTTGTCAAAAAGAAAACAATTTTTCACTGAAGAAGGCTACCGGTTTCCCTTCTTGTGATAGTACCGCGCCGACACCGATCGACGAAGCATCCGTGTCTACCGTGAACAATTTCTCAAAATCTGGCAATGCCAGAACGGGGGCCGAACTAAGAACGCTCTTAATAGCATTAAAACTTGCATGTTGTTCATCTTCCCATTTGATTATTTTGGCTTTTAAACATTCAGTAGCTTTAACATAGTGAAGGAGATTACCAGTGTTAAAAAAGTTCTTAATAGCTTGACAAACATAGAAACCAGTGATATCTCAAGAGCTTTTATAAAATTCAAAGGTAAAATCGTCCGGCCCCGGAGAAGAGTTGTGAGCACCAGCAAAATCACATTTTTAATCTCAGAATTCGTTATGGGATTGACAAGAGAGTCCACAAGATGCTCATTGACTTTGGTACCAATGGGACTAGCATGAGAGGTGGCTAAACTCTGGCAAGAAGGGTTGAATAAGCTTTGGAAATGCTGTATCATAGCATTAGCAACCTCCAAAGGGGAAGAGAAATGCCCCTCAGAGGTAGTAATTTCTTTAATGCAATTTACATTACTTCTGTTTTTTATTTTTGTATAGAGAAAGCCCAAATCATCTTTTCCTTGAGAAAGCCATTTGGCTTTCGCACGTTGAATGGTCCATTAACACCAAGTTTTGTTATAAGCAGAAAGGGATGTGTTGATTTGCTTGAGGTAATTATTCAGGCCATGATCTAAAGGACTAATGTTGATCTGCTCAAGACAGCACTTTTTTTATACTCCAGCATCTCAATGCTATTCTTAATGAAGGAAGAAGAAGTGATGGGGGTAGCAGAGGACGTGAAAAACGAGCTTTGAGATGCTTGAGTATTGAGATGCTAGAGTATTGAGATGCTGGAGCAAGTGATGGGGGTAGCAGAGGACGTGAAAAACGAGCTTTGCTTCTGCTACGACCCCGCGGTGGCAATGGGGCTTGCGGCTTAGGTTGCGGATTCTTAGGACATAGGGAAGGGGGATGAACCAGGGAACCACATCCAGAGCAAGGAGTGGGCTTCCAGTCATATATGACCTTAAGTTGAACATCATGCCATCCAGAGAAATCGAAATTTCATCAGGAAAAGTCGATTTGCTCGAAACCAAGACGCAAACTCTAGCAAAAGTAAGACGGGTTTTACGAGCGGTAAGAGCGTCTAACGCTAGTGGATGACCTCCAAAACTGGCGATTTTCGAAATACCCAACGGGTTCCAGACAGCAAGAGGGAGGTCCTGAATTTTGATCCAAATGGGAATGGAGGAAAGCTCATCCCTTTTGGGTAAAAATTTAGGACTCCATTTTTGTAGTATAAATGGCCGACCAAAGAAAAACCACGGACCACGTCCATGCGTGTTCAAAATCTTCTGGCTAAGAAAACTTGAAAAAGGAAAAATCTGTCATTTAAGGTAAGAAGATCGACCGAACCTTTAGGCGCCCAAACCTTATTAATAGTATTCAGCAGACTGAGATAGGTAGGCCTTGGTCCGACGGAGTAGCCAACCAAAGATAGGCTCCAGTCAGGAACTCCAAGAGCTAGATCATCAGCAGAAAACAAGATTTTTGTAGTGGAGGGGATGAAGGAGAGAGTAAACTCATTAGCCACCAGGTCTTGTTGAGTGAGGGTGGAGATGAAGTTGAGAGCATGAGGAGCATCGGATGTAATCGGACATATTTAAATTTGATTTTGGAGTGCCAAATTTTATTTGTAATTTAATTTAAGCATTTATTCTTATATATATATTTTCCATAAATATGTCCAAACATATGGCGATAATTGAATAGCCTTTTATTTAGAATATTAAATATTCCTTATTTTTATTTAATTTCAAGTAATTCCCAATATTGTTACTATATATAAATTAATTAAAATTTTCCAAAATTTATACTGCAAAAATAATATTATTTGTTGTTAATTTTGGATAGAATTTTAAAGATACATTAATATACTATTTGTAACATTTATATATAATGGGTTAATGATAATATTAACATGGTGAATGTTATTAATTGAAATTTTATTAAAAAATGGAGTGGAATGTTATGAATTTGATGATTCTATCAGAGAAATAAATATATCGCTTAATTTTTTTTTCTAAATATAGGTAGTCAAAATGAGTCCACGATCACCATCCTTTATGTTGTTATATAACGAAGAGTTATTCTTAGATGTTAATTTTTTCGACAACATATATTGGTGGTAAATGTCGGCCCCTACAAGTTCCATTCAACTCGATGTTGAAGTAGTTAAAGGATAGGGTTTTAGGGCGGTGAAGTTCGATCCCTCAAAGTTCGTAGCGACCAATGTGGTTCGTTTTCTAGTGGATAACTAATTCATGGCCTCGAAGGTTGAGGACAATGAAGGTTGTGAATTTGCATTATCATTGGATGCTTCTGAAGCTCTTATTTTGTATGCGGAGGTTGATGAAATTCATAATGATAGTAATCTTGATGAAGATCTGTCGACCAAAATTCACGATTCAGTCGTACTCGATCATGTACATGAGATGTAAGATGTGCTGAGATGGCCTTAGCAATGCCAAATGCACAAATAAGTTATGTTAGATGTGAATAAAATTATGCATTTTCTCAAGTAAATTTGTATTCCTTGTTATCTAATATTACATAAGTATGAATGCAGATCCAGACCAATCTCATACCAAAAGAATATGCCCAATCCGTCAGCATAATCCCATCCTACTTCTGTTTTTGAAGACATTGATATCAGATTATATGCACCTATTATCGATGATGAAGGGTATGAGACAATGAGCAGCGGTTCAAGCGATGATGTGGATGAAGAGTTTGATGATATCCTCCATGATCCAGCTGGTAGGAATATAGGAGTCCAGTCAAATATCAATGATATTATTCGTGACTACTATATAAGGACTATAAATATATAAGAGGGCATGTGCGGTTTTGTCGGCCCGTCCTCAGCCTATATGGGACTTTCCTTTTGGGTAAATATAAGTGAACATTACTCATTGATATCTTGACAATCCTTAGCATTGAAAACTATCTACGCGAACCATCCGATAAATACCTCATTCATTCGATCTTTATAGAAATCCATAATAAATTGGTCAAATATTGAACGCCAACCATGATATAAAATTACATGTTGAATGTTTAGTTGACTGCAGTAAATATATGGAGGGGAATGACCATCATCTCTATGACGTTTTATCTCATGGAACTGCATCTGTAAGAAATGAGGGCTGACAAGGTGACCATTCTCTTGGTGGAACCTATTTTTAAGAGATTTTCAACCGGCGGTATTTAAGAAATCTCTTGTCCTGTAAAGTTTAACCCTAATTAACTCAGAATGCATACTCCATAGGCAATCATCCTCATCTTCTGACCATTCGTGGACACAACACCTATCTCGTTCACATTCTCTTATTGCTCCAACGGACTGTCACCAGCTCGTGCTATACAA